AAAAAAAGATATGCAAAAAACAGTATTGTACTTTAGAAATAAGAAATATTTATTTTAGTCATTAAATTGTTTTTAAAATAGTAGGAGTATTTTGTATGTTAAATAATAAAATTTTAAATTTAAAAAAAAAATTAATGAAAGTTTATTATACTTAACCCTAGTAAAACCAGCTGTACTTCATACCCCCTTACCTGTTTTCACTTCTTCCCCAAATTTGGTTTTGATCAGTCAATGTGTATTTATTTTAGAGGGTGTGACGGACAGATGAATGGACTAACAAAAGTCACAGAAATTTATATATAGATAGTGCGATGGATAAATTGTCGTCTAAATTACACAAAAAATGAAAATAATACTGACATCTCATTTTAACAGAGATATTTACCAAAATTACACAAAGATGTCATGAAATACTAAAGAGTAAATTTCTTCAATAAAATCACTATTAACTTAACCACAAACGAATTTGGAATCTCCTGCAACTCTTCTGGACAGTCTCCTTGTTTAAGTTCGTGAATACTGCCATAATCCTTGTCTTCAGTTCATCCTTGGTGTTACAAGAAATTTTGTTGGTCTCTCACTCAACTGCATCCCACACATAATAATCAAGTAGGTTGCAGTCTGGGGAGTTAGGCGGCCAAATGTAAGGGGTGATGTGGTCGCAGAAATTGTCTGACAGTTGTGACTGGGCTCTCCTGCTTGTGTGGCATGGTGCAGAGTCCTGTTGTCAGACATTAGGTCTTTCATCAGGCACCCTCTTGACCTAGAACAGCACTACCTCCTCAAAGCTGTTAGAGGTCTCCGTGTTGAGTCTGAGGGCTTGACCAACAAATTCGGGAGTTCTGCTTTTATCAGAATGGTCAGAATGAGTAATCCAAGTTGCCATACCTTTGTAATCACCATTAGACTCATCCAACTCTTTCTGAATCCTCTGCACTGTTCTCAGATTGACACCCAAACACTCTGAAATGTTCATATTGTAGCTTCCGGCGTGAATGCTGAGCAGCACAGCATGCTGTTTCTAATTTTCTATTGGAGTGAATTGCTCTTTTTCTCACAGATGGTGCCCAACTGACCCTACTAGATTGTGGAGTCAACAAAATCAAAAACAAACAGCACCCATGTGCAAAATTAAAAATATAAAATAGTGACAATTTACCCATTTCCAAATTTTTGGCTGAGTGAATTGCGTCATGGCTCTCTTTTTCTCACAGACAGTGCTAAAATGATCCTGTGCAGTTGACAAAATCAAAAACATACACCATTCAAATTCTAGACTATTCTACTGCATTCACTTTCTACTAATACCTTTGAGAAGTGGTATGAATCTTTTCTATCACCAACTATGAGTAAAATAGCCTTGGTTGGAAGCTAATCTAGGAGAAGAACAAATTGGTTGAGCATGGGATGAGCAACTATCATCCCAGAAAACCTACTTGCTTTTAAAACTAAACATTAGATAGCATTGCTATTGCAATCTTTGTTCCAAAAAGAGTCTATATTATACTATAAAAATTTTAGATCAGAATTTAGCTAATAACAGCATGTCGGGCTACAAACCTAATGATTCACCAGCGTATTTTAAATTTGTCCCTGAAGAGTTGGTTCGATGAAACAGGTTCAAACCAAAGGACTTCAGCTGAAAGTTTCAATTTAAAATGCAGATTGGAAAAAAAATGAGAACTGCTCTTGTAACTCAGAAAAATTATCCTTCAACATGAATCAATCAGCATAATAGTTATATATATATATATATATATATATTTTTGGAAAATGTATGAGAAAGTGGGAAAAAGTTTTTGTGTGATGCATTTTGTCCTTTAGGACTTCTTTGGACTAAATTTGTTATGTTGGTGCGACTACACATGCTGTGTTACAAGAACACTTTTTCCCACATTGTCATACATTTTCCCCCAATATTGTTTTTGATATATATATCGTTATCTCATACAGGGCCAAAGTAGCCTTAAGTGGCATTTGGCTAATAGACTCTTGGAACTCATTCATTACATATGCTCACCCACTGTGTCTAAAAAAATATTTTTTAGATGCAGCTACATCAAAAATCATTTAATCATCACTTGATTGTGATTGTCTCTCATACTCCTAATGCTTATTGGGTTTTTTTTTTATGGGTGGTGGTGGGGGGGATCACTGTCTACCTAAAATTCTAATAATGACTGTAAGAGAATCCCACCAACAAAGTGTTGCTGGGGTATGGATATACTAAATCCAACATACCCATCAAGAAACCCAGTCTGATACAGGTATATCAGGCATGTGCATCACTATGCGTAATATGGTGACAGTTTTTTTTATAAAAGCAACACACGACTTTGCTAGTAGATTGGGTAACCCAGTCTCTGACTTGAGGGTATTTTCAAATATTTAGATGTGACTCCCAAATCATCTTGACTCCCTCATATTTCAAATTGAAAAAGAAAATTCTCAATATCCATCCATGATGCTCTCCCAATGTGTTTGCTCATGATCAGAAATGCATAGTGTATCATCCCGAATGGTTAACGTCAGGCAGCTGACAGGTAAATCTGTGGTGCTGAATGGGATATTTACTAAATCTAACTCCAGCAAAGTCAAGACCTGTACATGTTAACACCTTGAATCATTTAAGATCATGAGTATGACGATAAAGTACATCTGCGTCCTGGGTATTACGATAAATTATGTCCAACAAAAAGGCCTCTAATCAGGAGGTTTTGAGGAGTGTGGAACCACCTCTTAATTTCTGGTGTTCCCAGGTCCACCCTGACCCAGGGTGGTAGCACCTGTTAGGGTCCCAGCTATGGTTAAATAGTTAACCCTGAAACTAAGGTAAAAAGCATTATAAAAGTGTAAAAATAGGTTTTAATACCAGAAATACTATGTAAAAAATTATTACCAAAAATAAATTTTTGAAGAAAAAAACTTACCAGCAATATGTTTTTGAAAAAAATATTACCAGCTATACATTTTTGAGGAAAAAAATATTACCAGAAATAGATTTTTGACAAAACAAACTATTGCCAGGAAAAAGAAAAAAAGTTGTCAGCATTAAATAACCCATTGAGGTTGATATGCTGTAAAACACAACAAAACAAAACAAACATTTAAGATCAGAAGCCACAAGAGCCATGCCTGGTTTAGCATCTGGGTATTGATTATTATTATTATATTGATTGATTTGATTTTTACAGCTTATCAACACTTTGCAGGTTATTTAAAACCAGAAAACACATTTAGAGTGTAAGAATTTTCTTTTTGGATATAACAATAGTTCAGGTACCAGTCCTACTAATTAACCTATAGCTGGGGGAGAAGAGGTGGATGAATACCTTTCACTTTACCCATAAATGAATATAACAAACCCAATGAGAATTGGAACTTGGCTCCCTTATTAACAATTCCAAGCCATTATCCATTACACCACTTGCATAACCAAAATTAAAACCCCTGGTATTCCCAAGCCATCACCCATCTAGGTACTGTCCAGGCTCGATGTTGCTTAACTTATTATATATTTTACTTATTGATTGTTCTTACTGGTATTAACTGATGATCTACAGTAATGATTCAGTGACAACAGATCTCCTTAATACCCTAGAAAGTATTCTAGACATTTTTAGCAATTCTTTCTTGGATTTTTATGCTTACTGCCACATCACTTTGAAACACCAAATTACCCTTGGGAAAAGTATCTTCTCCCACCATCTATTGGTTAATTATTAAGATTTGTATCACTAAATTATTATTATCTCCAAAAATAAAAATAAAATTGCGTACAAAATATTTAGATTTTGTTATTAAATAACCCTTACAGGTGCTGATATGCTGCTAAACAAAAACAACCAACCAACAAATATTTCTTGGATTTTTACTTCTTTCAATCATTTTACTGAGCTCTTTGGCACTTTTCCATGTGCTCCAACAATGATAGGCACGACTGTTACCTTTATGTTCTTTAATGTTCTTAATTTTCTCATAAGGTCAAGATATTTTTTCTAATTTTTTCACTTTGTTTTCAATTTACTTTCTAGCCCATTGGAAGAGCGAAATATAATACTTGTCAATAAGGGAGCCATTGTCTTTTTGCTATTGATAACTGGCATTATTGTTAATATTAGTAGTAGTAGTAGTATTAATAGTTGACAAACCAATATTGTGTTTCATAGAACTTCTGTAGCACCAGTTCACAAGGTTTGAAGAAAGATAGTCCTCACTAAGACCTATACATTTCATTTATTCAAAGTTATTTTTAATCATTGATCTGAGAAAGTGGTTGTATACAGCAGACAGTTTAGATATTTCTCAACAGGTTGAGGGCCATACATGACATCCATATGAAAATCTCAATTTGATAAGGCTATTTGAGAACCTGACTCAACTTTTTTGGTTAATGTTTTGGCTTTGTAGCAACTTGTGGTGCTGGGTAAAACTATACCTACTGCAGCCTATGCTATCTTTAATTTCCTTATCTATACTAAATTTATTAATATTTGATCAATGCACTGAGGTATTTGATGTGTTTAGTATTTAATAATTCCACATCCTGATATTTTATGATGGATTTCATTCCAATTCCAGATTTTAGTTTCTATTTTTTGGAAAATTTGGTAGATGTTTTTTTTGTTGTTGTTCAAGATTATTCATATTCCAACTATGAATGCTTATGTTGTCAATGTCTGCTCCTCATCATTAGTACACTGGCCCCAGGTGGGAAAGGTCTTTTATATTTTATCAGTTCACTCTTCAGAAGTGTTTTCTTCTTTTACATTCCCACAATTACTTGCATATCTTTTGTAAGCCATTAGTTGAAACAAGTTTTAACAAAAACAGCCTATAAAATTACTAACAAACTTGAAAGAAACTCCTTGACTTGTGGTTTACTAATAGTTTAAATAATTAGTACTTTTTTTTTTTTTTTACAAGTTAAATTTACCCAGTTGTAAATATATTAAAGCACATGTTTGCAACAATGACAACTTTATTTTCTTTTTTCCCAGAGTGCATGTCAGCATCACACGAAGAGACAAAGAAAAAGAAACATCGCAAAGAACTAATGGAAATAAAGAAAAAATATGGTTTAAAGGTAAAAGCATTTGTTTTGTTATTTAAAAATATTTACACTTTTCAGATATTTTGTCTGTGTACATTTAAATATATAATATGCTGGTTAATAAAAATTGTGAATTAAAAAGCCAACAAATGATAACACTGTTGGCAATAAGATTGATGATATTTATTATATATTAGGCTTTTGACTAAATTGAAACATGAAGAGAAAGACTTTAAAGTCAGAATTTATCATTTTGTTGTCTTTTTATTCCTAAACTTTTATTAACTGGCCTATTAAATCTACATATTATGAGAAGTATACTTGGACAATCTTTTGTTTTAATCATATATATATATCTCCAGGTACAATGAAAATGAATAGGTTACAATTCCAAAGTTTGTAACATTTAATTTAAAAGAGGGCTCAGTACAAAGTAAAGCATTATTATTTATTTTAGGATATTACACCAAATACATGTCAAAATCGCTATACAATTGCAGTCCTGTTTCCATGCATATCAATGCATCTCATCAGGCAATTGTAAATTACCAGTGAATGAATGACTTATTTAAAAGCAAAATTCAACCTCATTTTAAGAAAAAAAGGAGGTGATAAGGTTTGTGGGCTTTACTCAGGTCATATTTGATTGGTTGATCAATGTTAAATTTAAACTAAGCTAAGAATTAAAATTAAAATTTTTTTTTTTTTTTATAAATGGGTCATGACCCATAGATTGGCAGCTAACAGCAGCCAGACAATAAATTAAGGCAGATGCAAATGTTTACATAAGTTTTATACAAACTAGACAATACTGTTTCCTAAGAAATAAAAATGGGATGGAGAGGTAATTTAACAAAATGCTAAACAAGTTATATGCTTTGTTAATTTCCTACATAAAAATTATTTATAGTTGATAAATAAATAGCTTCTTTAAGAAACTAGTAAATAATTTAAAAGTATAGAATTATTTGGTAAATTAATATGCAACTGTTGAATAAAGATTCTTCATATAAGATGTTAATAACACTAACCAATCAATGCAAAATGTCAAAAATACCAACCAAATACTAATAAATCCATACAAGATGTTACTTATACTACCAGGAGATTAATACAAAATTATATTAAATCCAAATTAATCTTACAAATAAAAAGATAAGCCATATATAGTGCAATGCAGTACAACTAAAATATAAAAAAAAGCATAATCAAATTTCAAAGTTTGACTAAATGTAAAGTAAAAGGTAAACTATGTTTACAATTTACTGTTAATTCATTTCTTTGATTTAATAAGGAATTTTTATTGAATCTGATAATTTCCAATTTTTCATGTATAAAAAATAATTTTTAATTTTGCTTCTTCATTTAGTTTAAATTTAATCCCATTTTTTCTTTTATTCTTAAAAAGAGGTTGTATTTTGCTTTCAAATCTAAATAAATCATTCACTCGCCAGTAATTTACAATCACCTTATGAGATGCATTGATACACATCAAAACACAACTGCAATTGTGTAATTTACAATTGCCTGAACAGATGCATAATAACTAAATAGGCATAGAAAACAGAGATAATAATAGAAAAAATGTATTAATACAATGTAAATTTCAGATTTTAAAACTTATAAATTCTAGATTATTCCAATAATGTTAGTAGTTATTTTTAGCCTAAAAAACACAAATAGAACGTTCTGTAATTGATATTTGTGCAAGAACGTTATCATCATGGCGAGAGGTAAAGAATTGACAAATTTGCAAAAAGAACTGATTGTTAAACTCTGGAAAAAAGGTAAAAGTTACACGAAAATATCAGATAACCTGAATATTCCATTTACTACCATTAGTTCATTAATTGCAAGGTGTAAAAACTCAAAACTGTTGAAAACCAAAGAAGAACAGGTGCTCCACAGAAGATTTCTACAAAATCTTCAAGTAAATTAATGTGTCAAATTAAACAAAATCTAATGGTTACTTGTCAAGAGTTGCAGGATGATTTGCTTTCATCAGGAATCTGTGTTATTAAACGGATAATAAGCAATGAATTTCATAGGAACAATCTAATATAATGCTCCCCTCAGAAAACTCCACTGCTATTGAAAAGACACAGAGATGCCAGGTTAAAATTCATTCATGAATATAAAGATAAGGAAAATTTGTATTGGGAAAGAGTATTATAGACAGACGAAACTAAAAGTGAGTTGTTTGAACATAATTCTAGAAATCATGTATGGAGGAAAGATGGTGATGCCTTCGAAGAAAAGAACACAGTTCCAACAGTGAAATTTGGTGGTGGCAGTATCATAGTTTGGAGATGTTTTTCTGCAGAAGGTACTGGCAATGGTAGAATGAATGCCACAGCATATTAAAATATTTTGGAAGCAAATTTAATGATTTTGGTTGAAAATCTTGAACTTCACCTGATTGGATCTTTCAACAATATAACAAGCACACTGCAAAATCTACAAAGAAATGACTTTGCTGAAAATAATGTAAATATCCTGAAATGGCCAAGTCAGTCCCCAGATTTAAACCCAATTAAGAATCTGTGGTGTTATTTGAAAATTCAAATCCAATTGAGAGCTCCAACAAACATTCTGAATCTGAAGACCATATGTGAAGAAGAATAGAACAAAATACCAACTAAGATTTGCAAATCATTAATTGAGAACTCAAAGAAGAGGTTGGTTGCTGTAGAAGTGAATAATGGCTATTCTACAAAGTATTACATGAAGATTATGTATTCTTTTTTGTATTGTACGAATATTTTTTCACCCATTAAAATGGATAAATGGGATTTATTTCTATTAAATCAAATTTTTTCAAGATATTTTATTAAATTTAACATATTTCAAAAGGGTAAAATATAAACAAAAAAAGATGCAAGCATAAGTATTCATTAATAGTTTAAATATTTAAAAAAGAATAAATCAATTTGTAAGTCCTCAAAATCATCAGATCCTGAGAACAAAAGCTTTAATTAATCAAAAAAAATTCTGTTCATTAACTTCTGAAATGTTTTTTGTCAAATTCACTTGTATCTTTAAGTTAGTCAAATATATTTGTTAGTGGTGGGTAGGGAGTTTTATCTCATTTATCAAATGGACTTTCATTATTTGCACTATTTGCATTCAGGCTATTGTCTTCATCTTTGTCATACCAATGTAATGCTCATTACTCCTCATGTCTAACAGACCTTGAGGAATGTCTGAGTCCTATAGTAGATTGAGAAAATGGCTGATAAAAATAAATATATATACTATGTAAAACCCAAATATCCAGATAATTGCTTATTATTAATTAATTATTTAACAAAATATTTATTTCTTATGACAGTTTGAAGTAAAAAATTTTCCAAACATAAATATTATTCAGTACACTTGTAAGAAATTATTTTGTATGTATTAACCAAAGTATTTTTTTTTTTTTTAATGTTTGTTTGCTTTGGTTTTGTTTTGTTGTTGCACTGTTCTTTAATTCTACAGATTAGCCTGACTCATTGCATAAAATTTCCATATTTTCTCACACTTGTCCTTTTTAGATTATCTACCATCGATGTCATGCCTTATTGACCATACAGGTCATGGGCATTGTTATTCACTGACTGTCCTTCATCCAATCTTTCTATGATTTTCATCTCTTCTCTTTGGCCTCTTGTTATTTTTCTAACAAAATATGTTTGCTTAAAAAAGTTTTTGAATATAAATTCTACCTTGAGCTAGATAAACAGAACATTCATGCTTGTTATATTGTTACTCACTTCAGTAATGGTGACTCATTTCTATTGTATACTACTGCAGATTTTACAAAGACTGGCCAATTCATGAAAACTTTTTGTTCACCCCTCCTCCTTTTAATTTTTTTATTAAAATGAGGTATTGTAAACAAGTAATTCAGATTTCAGTTTCATAATATTCCACCGAACACTCATCCGCAAGTTTATTATTATTAAAGAGCTTTCTGCACAAATCCTTTCACAGTTTTTCATCTTTAAAAGGGTAGAGGTGGGGAGAGCTATATGTTTACAGAAGTACATTTCTTGAAGTTGATAATGTTTCTTTTTTCTATCAGGTCATCCCATAAGTTCTGTCCGAATTTTGAATAAAGAAAACAAGTGACCAAATGTTACATTTAATTACAGATTCAATCAACAATGTATTTTCCCTGATTATCTATGACTTCCTTCCACCTATTAACAAGCTTACTAATTCCATTACTGTAAAATTCTTTTGGCTTTGATTTGAAGAACTCACAAATGTCAGTTTTAACCTCTTCCTGTGTTACAAAAGCTGTTTCTTCCAAATGATTCTGTAAGCTATGAAACAAATGGTAGTCTGAAGGAGCAAGATCGGGAGAATAAGGTGGATGAGGAATTTTCTCCCAACCAAATTCTTCGATCTTTTGTTATATGATTCTTTCTGTGTGGGGTTGCGCATTGTCCTAATGAAACATCACCCCTTTTCGATTCACTAGAGCAGGTTGTTTTTTTCCTCAAAGCTTGGTTCAAATGCTCTAATTGCTGACAGTATATTTGAGCATGAATTGTTGCATTAGGTGGTAAGAATTCAAAGTGGATTATTCCTTGGCAATCCCACCAGATTGGAAGAAGAACCTTTTGCCCATGAAGTTCCCTTCTCGGCTGTGGCTGGGGTCCTTCCCTTTTACCAACCCACTGTCTACGATGCTTAACATTTCAATAAAAAATCCATTTTTTGTTGCCAGTCACAGTCTATCCAAAACAGGTGGAACAAGTTGGCGAGAATGGAAAGAAGAGCAGATGTCAACTCGGGATTTGAGGTTGTTTTCAGACAATTCATGAGGCACTCATTTTCCAAGTTTACGAACTTTTCCAAGTTGTTGAAGATGACGATGAATAGTTGTATGGTTTGAACTGAGAACCACTGCCAATTCCTCAACTGATAAAGCAGGATTTTCTTCAAGGGCTGCTTCAAGAAGCTTTTCATCAAACTCAACTGGACCTCCGGTTCGATCTTCATCTTCAAGGGTGAAATCTCCACATCTGAATTTTGCAAACCAT